AAACAAAAGCTCCAGTCTCCAGGGTGATAGGATTAGCCCTCACTCCGGCTCCAAAGCAGGTCAAACTTCAAAGGATCAAGCCCCAATAGGAATTGTCCAGCAACACCCTTTCAGAACACAAGTGTCACACATCCTCATCACCCAGCAATAGTCAACAGCCTAGGACGTAAACAGCCTACAAGGTTAGCTGGCCTGAAAGCCCTCCCCCTGGGAGTCTGACAGCCATTAGGATAATAACTTGTCTTTGCCACAGGAACAGAAAGAGCAGCTCTTGTTGGGAAAGTGTGGTGCTCAGTACAGCAAGCCTCGGGTGCTTGGGGAGATGATCCATGTGCTCTCCTGGTCGTCTACTTCTCTCCATCGCTGGTCTTGCTGGGAGTGTCTTGGGTAGCACACCGAAATTCAGCAGGCTTGAGCCACTGCTTTGGGTTCATAGTCGGATCTGTAAGTCCCATCTGGAAAGTGCTGTGGTGAAGAGTAGCAGCTGGGTTGACTGCTGTTGCTCTCTGCCACAGCGCTTTCCAGATGGGCTTTACAGGACCCAAAGTGGCAGCTCACTGGGAAAGGGTCTTGCACAGCACAGCGAGCCTCAGGTGCTTGGGGAGATGCTTCACGTGATCTCCAGGTCAACTGCTACTGGTCTTACAGGGAGAGCATTTTGCACAGCACAGCGAAATTTAGCAGGCATGAGCCGCTGCTTTGGGTCCTGTAAGTCCCATCCAGAGAGACAGAGAGAAGCAGCATTCAATCCAGCGACTTCTCTTTGTCACAGCTCTTTGCAGATGGGACTTACAGGTATGACTCTGAACCCAAAGTGGTGGCTCATGGCTGCTAAATTTCACTGTGCTGCCCAAGGTGCTCTTTAGGCAGGCCACCAGCAAAACCATCAGCAGAGAAAAGTAGCTGGGTTGGGCATGTGGAGTGTCTTCACGAGTGACCGAGGCTCAGCCAGCACTAAAAGCCAGAAGTAGTGGCTGCAAGATCGGAGATGCCGGAGACTTAACCCAGCTGCTTCTCCGCCTAAGCGCTTTCCAGATGGGATTTCTTACAGGTAAGAAACTTACCCAAACCACTTCAGCCCCCCTGTGCATGTGCTGCCCCCTCATGGCAATGCTGCCCTTCTGAGGCCCTCCCTCCTGCACCTGTGCTGCCCCATGGCCCTCTCCCCTTCAGCTGAGCACGATAGGCCACAGGTCAGATAAATTGCTTCGGCCCAGGGGTGGCGTAGTTTGAGGCCAGGGGTTCTAGGCAAGGGTGGGCAGTGAGCATAGATTTCCCAGGGGAATGCATGCAATGGCCCTGGGGGTGAGGTGTAAAGTAAAACAGCAACTTGCCTAAAACTAGGGAGTGGCAAAGCGAAGGCTTAAGTTGGGAGTGAGGAAGTCGGAGAGCAGTTGGGCTGTGGGTGCCACGTAGTTTAGGCTAGGGCCTATGCAAGCTGCAACAGCTGGGGAGTCAGGAAAGCAGGCGAGCCTGTGCAGGAACTGGAGAGGGCATAAGTGAACTGCGATGGCTGGGGAGCTAGGAAAGTGGGCGAGGAAACCGGAGAGCAGCTGAGCCATGGGCATCATGTGGTCTAGGGCGAGCTGTGAGCATGGCAAACGAACAGCTAAAGCAGGGAAAATAAGTGGCTATAAGAGGTGGGGCCAGCAGGGAGGTGAGGGGGCAGGTGGAGTGGGGCAAGGCGAGAGAGGAGGGGCCAGCCAGTCGTGGCATTTGCTGCTTCACCAAACTACACAGAATTTTAACAACCGGTACGCCCAAACTGTTGTGAACCAGCAGCAGCCCACCTCTGATTATGGGTTTGCCTCACAAAACCTGTCTTTACTAAGATATATTGTAGACCTGGTTTTTGAAGAAGTGGTTAAAGGAACTTGGTCAAGCGACAATAGATGACCAGCCCATGCCTGCAAAGAGGCTGAGCTGGATTAAGTTTCTAAAGAGATAGCTTGGCATTTTCTATATCTGATAGAATTCTAAAGTCACTTGGAGGAGATTTACTGATGACTCTAATTCTTTAGGTCATACCTTGGTAATTGGTTATATCATCGATTACTGATTGTTGGCTAGATCTTGAATTGTTAAGATTTCCATACAAATCAATTTCCTTACTAAAGATCTGCAGATGATGAAGCATGTAGGAAAAACAAATATGCCTAAGTATAGTTTAGAATTCATTGGAAAGCTTATTTTTGTTTTTCTTTATTTTGTTCTTTGTAATCACTGCTTAAAGGACTCATTCTGGATGTAACGGGGGACCAATTAGGCTCTGGAAGATCATCTAGTGCAGTGATGTGAACCTTTTTGCAAAGGCAGGCCAAAATTGTATGCGCACATGCAATAGTGTATGCCCACACCCACAATGCAAGATGTGCCCCGCTCACCTGCACATGCAACCCCCGGATAGGAGGAAATGTTCTCTCTCCCCAGGCTCCAGAGGCTTTCCTGAAACTTGGGAAGGTGAAAATGGCCTCCTCTGCCACCCCTGAAGCTGGAAACGGATCATTTCCTAACTTCCGGTTGGACCTGTTTTTTGCTCTCCCCAGGCTTCAGGAACCCAGCTGCCAGGCTGCTTCTTTCTGCCTCAGTGCTTTCTGGAAGGGACTTCTTACAGACCCCCATGGCGGTGCTGCCCCCCTGCAACCCTCCCTCCTGTGCCTGTGCTGCCCTGTGGCCCTCTCCTTTGGCTGAGCACAAGCCAGATAAATTGCTCTATTGGCCTCCTCTGCCACCCCCAAAGCCAGAAACAGATCGTTTCCTAACTTCTGGTTGGCCCGTTGGGCCCATTTTTCACTGTCCCCAGGCCCCAAAGGCTTTCCTGAAGCCCGGGGAGGGCACAAAACAGCCCAACAGTCCAACTGAAGTTCAGAAATGATCCATTTCTGGCTTCCTGGGCCCAACAGACCAACCAGAAGTTCATTTCCGAACTTCTGGTTGGTCCGTTGGGCCCATTTTTCACCCTCCCAAGCTCCAGAGGCTTTCCCGAAGCCTTGGGAAGGTGCAAATGACCTCCTCTGCCCACCCCCCCAGAAGTGGGGGGCACACACATACACACAGGACCTGACAGCTCATATGCTGGCAAATATGGCTCCACGTGCCACCTGTGACACGTGCCATAGGTTTGCCATCATGGATTTAGTGTTTTCAGCAAGTGAACTCTGAAAGCTTTATGGATTCTTTTCAGGTGATCTTGCTTATATGCATTGTTAAACTGACATTTTTATCAGTAATGTTAAAAATAAGTGGGACAATGGCTTGTTGTGTATTATTGGATCAATTTTGATCTGTATCCTATCACTATGTGGACAAGATTCTTGGATGAATTTGGGCCTAGCTCCCTCTTAACTAGTAGTGACCAGAAAGGATTGAAGGATGTGTTATGTTTGATCAATAATATCTCCCTCAGAAGGTGGGAAACACCATTTATGTTAAAGATTGAAAAACAATCTATAGATTATCAATATACTATCCCCTGCCTCCAGATTAAAACAGGTTTAGGCTTGCAGTGAATTATGAATTTATAATTTCCTCATCAATATGGTTGAAAGAATGGCAGCAGATGGATTCTAAATGTTCCCAAATGAAACTGATTTTCTAGAACTGTTCTATTCAATTTCAGACCATGTCATCCTACGGAGAAGACTTTGGTTGCCATTACTGAGGGAACAGGATTTGCTTATAATCCTCAATATCTGCTTTTGATACTGTCAGCTATAACATCCTCAGTTTATTCTAAAGAGATAGCTGGGAGTCAAGACTACAGGTCTATTCTAGTTTTGTTCTACCTTGGATATATTCCTTTTTCATCTTACAACTCAACATTTCATCTTGTGCATAATTCTGTTGTACAGGTAGTCCTCAATTTATGACAAATGAGCCGGAAATTTTGGTTGCTAAGCAAGAAACACTTGCTCACTTTATAACCTTTCTTAACATAGTTGTTAAGTGAATCATTGCAATTGTTAAGTTAGTAACACAATTGTTAAGTGAAATCTTGACTTTGCTTGTCAGAAGATTACAAAGGGCAATTACATGACCAGGGACACTACCAGTGTCATAAATATGAACCAATTACTAAGCATCTGAATTGAGTAGTCACTTGACTATAAGGATGCTGCAAGTCGTGTGAAAAATGGTAATGTCATTTTTTTCAGTTCTATTGTAATTTTGAATAGTCACTAAATGAACAGTGGTTAAGTCAAGCAATACCTGTATTTCCATGAAACTCCACATCTATATGTAACCACTGGAAGGTTACCAGTGATTGTAGTGTTGGGTGCTATATTTATAATGATGACACTCAGCATAACGTTCTTTTCATCAATTACAAACTCCTTGACTTTACTCCCATTTGGACCAGATTGCATATTGGACTTAACCAGTATGTTGAAACGAACAGGTCAAAGGGACTAATAAGTAGGGATGTCTCAAAACAGTATAGATATTTTCTTGCTCTCGATAGGGTTTTTCCCCTCCAAAAGGATTGGGTACCTAGTTTGGAGGTGCATTTTGATCCCGTATAGTCCTTGATTGGTTATGGAAGTACACTAGCAAGTGCAAATGAATTATTGATGCCTCTCTCCTTGGGTATTTCTATTTGAAGGAAGAGTTTTTATGTAGTCACTAGAAAATCTTTTATACATGCCAACCAGGAGAAGTTTAAGTGCAGTTTACTGGAATCATCTTTTATGATGGTGGCTCCAATGCTGGGGAATTCTCTCCATTAACAATTTGCTTAGACTGTGCTCGGGAAAACATTAAAAATCTACCCCTTTTTATATTTCATGCTATTTGTTTTAATCAGCTATCTTGAACTTTTAATATTAATGCCATGTTTCTATGCTTTTTCCGCTTCTGATTCCATGATATTCCTTTTTTATGATACTTGTTACAATTTTTCGTATCTATTATTAAGATATAGAGGTTAGATTTCACTATGAGTTAGCTTTGTTGGAAGCATGCTCAATAGTTCATTACCCATAACTATAAAAAACTCAAACCAAGTCAAAGGATTTTAATAATGTAGGTTGAAGTATGACAAACAAAAATAGTAAAATATTTGTAATACAAACTAATATATTTTATTTTAAAATTCTCCTGATATTTTCTCAAGAATCTTACAATCTTAAACAATTTGCTTAGGAAGATCCTTAAAAATGTCAAACTAATTAAAGAATGGCTAAGAATGTATTCTTAGTATTTCTATTATGTATATCCAGAAGTGTAAAAATGTCTTCTTTCTTTCAATATAAAAATATTCAATCTTGTCAAAAGTATGCAAATTAAAATATACTTGCTTAATGATCATCTTAAGAAAGGCAATTCTACTTCAGTTTCTCACAAACATATTAGTATCTCATAAACATATTTAATTTGTAAGTTCTTTAGGTGAAATATCTCCCTTTTCTACAACAATGTGTTGCTTGTTCAAGGCTGAATTGTTGGTTGACATCAGTAACAGACACTGGTTCTAGGCCTACCCATGGGTCTTCAAGCATTGAAGGTTTATAATAATTCTCCACATCATCATTGGACAGTGTTTTCTCCTTCCCATATGGTGTACCAAATGGAGTCGATATTCGGGGTGATCCCTTCAAGAAAAGTCATGAAGCAAAAGAAAAGAATGTAGTTAAAATGTATATATGCATATATTTGCATTCAGTATCAGCTTTATACAAGTTCTTCAATACTTCCATCCACCCTAAAAATGTAATTTGTACACATTAGTAACTAGCAGTTATTTTATATTTTCACTTGAAAAATATAACCAAAGAAAAACACTGAGATGGTGAATGTCTAAAGAATATATTAAAACAAGTATAGAAAGTTATAAATAACTATTTTTAAAATTTCAAAACAATTATATAAATATGTATAGATTTTTCTAATTCCCTCATATTCCTCATTAATTATCACTGCAGTGCTCTGGTCCCTGTCAATTACCATGATATCCGATAGATTGGCTAGTACCTACCTATCTGAAACTGGAAGTCCTATAGCAATGGTGGCTAAGCTTTTTGTTGTCGCATGCCAAAAGTGCAGGTGACAGCATGCATGCACACCCACACCCATAATACAATTCTCACGCGACACACCCCGCCCCCCTATGCATCTGTGCACAACACCCGAGTCCCATTTTAGGCCTAGTCCCAGCCTCCTGGGACAAAAACAGGGCACACCACCCCACATGTGTATGTGACCCCTCCCCCCCATACACGTGTGACCCTGCCCCTCGCACATTCATGCGCTTCTCCCCATGCCCCCAAGCATGCATGGCAGAGACCTGAAAACTAGCTGGCCAGTGGGAGGTGTGCACACATGCACGGTGTAGGACTCAGAAATCCATTATAGCAGGTGTCCAAAATGTCTGTCTGCCTCCAGAGAGTTTTTTGTTTTTATACAGTTTCAACAAACAAAGCAAGAGCATAGGTAGCATCGTTATTGGCTTATTATCCTTGTCAATCTCTAAGACCATCCCAGCCAGGGTAAAATCTCACACAACACAATAGTTCCTGGTAGTGCCTGGTTCTACTAATTAGGTGATTTGGTAATTTGGCTTTAAAGAAAAATTTATTTGGGCAGTCTTTAGCAAAACAGAAAAAATACCTCACCAGATGGACTCATTTTCTCTTTTTACTTCCTTCCTTCCGGAGCATCCTGATTTCATTAGCCTGGCGGCTGCCTGTTTACTGCCAGCTTGAACCACTTCCCTTGGGTCAATCAGGGACTTTGCAATGTCCCTGAGACCAGCAAGGCTTTGTCTTCCTGATCATCATCTCTACAGGACGGTTTAGGTCTCAATGGACCGTCCAGCGGCAAAAAGTGTCAACGGCGGTCTTGGAGTATCGAGACCGCACATTGTCACATTGCGACGTGGCTCCTCCTTTCCCCCCAATAGGGCTTATTCTCATATTAGTGAAATCAATCAATATTGTGCATATCCAGTGGTTTACACTCATCCTCAGTGAATTTTGGAATTGCTCAAGTGTGGTCTGAATGGGATTACCGAAAAAAATGAAGGGGGAAATCCTTTCTTTTTGTTTTTGTTGAAAGATAGGATGGCAGAGGTATCCTTAATTTTCAAAAAGGGGATGTTTCTTGATTTTCTCAGAGAGTAGTCAATCCAGAAACTGTCAAATATATAAACCTGGCTGTTATGTATTTTATGGAATAGGTTGCCTAGGTTTGTTATACATATCTAGTGGTTGAATCCGCCAGGCCTCGAAAGATCAATAAGTACCATGATCCTACTCAGTTTTTTTGAAGATGTTTTTCTCAGAGCCCCAGTTTAACAGAAACCAGTTTATTCGTAAAGGCGGCTTACTAAATTTCCAACTTACTCTGATTTATACATATTTAGAATATTTGGGATAATTGCGATCTCATGTTAAAAGGCATCATTGAATGTAAAATGTCTGCTGACTGGATACTAAACAGGCGTGCAAAAAGGCCATGCTTAATTCTATGCAAATTCAGAAAACACTAAGGACCCCTCAGTTCTGGTGCGCAGAGCCTGAATGGCTGAATCGTGAACGACCCCCGTTATGTCTATCCCCCTCCTCCCAGTAAATACCTGGTTGCATCTCTGATAGCCCCCCGAAGGCGGCTGCTTGAAGGGCTGCTGCTGGTAAAATGCTCCTCCGGGGGACCTGCTGCCACTGTAGGGAGCCAGGTGGCTGGGACTGGCACTGTGGGGCCTACGTGGTGGGTGCGCCGGTGCCGAAACTCCAAACCAGCCTCCACCATCCCCGCATGTTTGGAAGCGGGGAGAGCAAGGAGAAATGTCGTACGACCGCGAGCGGGATCCGTAAGGCGACATGTGGCGAGGGCTTCGGTAGCCTTGTGGAGAAGCTCCTCCAGAGGCAGGGCTCAGAAACCCGGAGCCACTCGAAGACGGTGGGGTAGGAGGCCGGAACCCTTGCCGATACATAGCGATGTTATGGATGCCCCTATAGCAACTGCCGATTTCCTTCACCTAATCCGTAGTAGTAGTAGTTCCGGGTCGATTCGATTGCAGCCCTCCTTCGAAACTGCTCCGCCGAGCGTCTTCCGTTTCACGCTGCAGGCTTGACGTCTCTTCCGTGAGAATTAGAAATCGAGACGTTTGACTTGCGTGTTCTTAACGTTTTTGCAATATGTAGGATGCTTTAGTCGAATCTAAATGGGTTTTCGTTTATCCAATTACAATTTTTACTACAGCCATGCGGTAGAAATCTAAAGTTTCAATATAATTGAATAAAATTGAAAATTTATTTGTTTATTCCAGTATATTGTGGGTTTCTCCTTTAGCGTATTTGGAATTGTATGTTGGCCTCTTGCTACGTTTCCAAGTAATATTTCAATTTCTAGAGTATTTTCTTGGTACGGAATTTCTCTTTAAATAGCGCAATATTTGGACGCGTTCCCAATCTACATAGCCGACTTCGGAACGAAAGTGTGTCTGATTTTGGAGGGATTAGCTTCCGAGTTGTGCGTGCTTGGGCTGCGAGGCTAAACTGTTGTAAGATTCCTCTTTCATGTTTTGCTGATCGATAAATCTGAAAGGGGACTAAAAGGGGGGGGGGGCAAAACTGCAACGTTATTTTTCTATATTTCTTGCTGCCTTCTAAGCTCCCTTTTATGCTTGGCCGTGGATGATGGGTGTTATGAGCGGATTGTTTTTGGTTATGGGGAAATTTGATGGACAAACAACCTATTTGCATTGGCATGCAGTTGCCTCAAGAAAAAAAAGTAGCATTTTTGCTCAGGCTTGTAGACAATTCCATCCTAATGATACCTAGATCTTCTACGGCGTTAAAAAAAAGGAAAGGGGTGGAACCATTTCTTACCACACAGCTTCTAAAACATAGTTTCAAAGGTCGCGCTTGCGGTCTTTCACCCCCCCCCCCTTCGTTCCCCGGATTGCCTCGCTTGGTTCAGCTGAACAAGATATCCATCACGTCTGCGCAGTGGGCGCCTCTGAAGACTTGGTACAAGAGTCCAAAGATTTTTGGAGCGCTGATGTCAGCTCTCCCGCAGTTTCGCGAGTCGGCTTCAGCGGTGGCCAATATCAGCTTGCCGGCATGTTGGGGGCTAAGATGGGAAGAAGCAGCTGCATCCTATACCATCTGAGGAAAGGTCTATATTCGCCTCTGGCTAGTGGCGTCGGCTCATTTCTCGATCCCCTGGGCTTCCCTCAACTTTTGCGACTTCCCTCTTGTTCTGGCAGTTTCAGAGGGCTGCAGCAGGGAAACTGCCCCCATCCAGGTAGCCGATTTTTTACATTCTTCGTTTAGTTCAAGGCATTGCGGAAGATTGTGATACGTTACAGTAAAGAGCTTGTACGCAGCAGCAGAGAAGAGCTTTAGAGAAAGCGTTCAGGAGAAACCCCATTTCGGAACCTTTCATTTGCAACAGAATATAATAAATTGAAGCAATTCATGGAAAAATAAACTTAGCTGTGTGGTAGCTAGGGTCGGAAACGACTTGATGGCCCATAATTAATCAATTTCAAACGCGATCATAATTGTTGCAAATTTGGGAGCAGTTCAGCAAATCTTATCTTGGAAATAAAAATCTTTGGAAACCAAAATTATCAGCAAAAGATAGGATTTCTAGAAAAAAAAGTCAGGGTTCTCTTTGCTTACTTTTTGTAAGTTATCACCTCTGAAATGTATGATGAGTGTAACTGGATATATCAAATAGAAAATAATGCTTCTAAAGTTGCTATCTAAAAATAACCTGCTATAATTGGAGAATTATTTCCAATTAAATTACAATGTTTTTACAAATTATATTAAATAGTGTATAGATAGAATGGCTTAAATACTCATTGCAAGAAAATAATTATTAATTTAGGTTTATGCCCAATTAAGTCACAGTAGATTAGCAGATAACTAATCTTGGTTGATCTAAAAAAGTGAAGGAAATAATTGTCTATACAGTATTTGGCTACAAAACCATTAATGAGATCCTAATGTTGTATACTAGTCTTGAAAACTTGGAAAAAAACATCTGAAAAGAAGGCAGTAGCAAACCACTTTTGTAAGATGTGTCCATGGACTTATGTGACTTTGAAGTCATAAGGAACTAATTTTGGCTTGTGGGAATCTTTATAGCACTACATTTTGTAATAGAAATTACAAATAGTAATTGACATTTTCAACATAATTTGGTTATTAATTTTATTATTTTATTAATGTTTATTCCCACTTTTCCTCTAGGAATTTAAGCAGGTTACCTATAGATCGCCATTTTATCTCTCTCCTGAACAACTGAGGCTGGGACTTCTCTTGGAGACAGGCAGAGAATGCTTGATAATGGATTTAAGTGATTACCAGTGCTGCAATTAAACCAATTCATTTTTCATTAATCAGAAATTTGCCTTATCAGTCAGAAAATTGGTTTATCTAAACCAGGATTCCAGCAGAATCAGAAAAACTGTGCAAGTCCTATGGTAGGGATCTTTACTAAGTCTACATATTATTCTTTTAATACAAAACTTCATAATCTAAGGCCTACTGGTTTCATGTAGCGCCTAGAAGTGTTAGGTGTTTCTATGGAGTTTCTTCCAAGAGTTTCACTGAATTGAGATTTTCCAAATGTAATAAGAAGTAGAGACTTATAAAATACAGATAGAATACCGGTATTAGCAATATTTATCTAATTATATTTAAATGAAAAACAAAACTATATTTGATTTTTTTTTACTTCCCAGTCAATTGTTTGCTGTGCCCTTGCTCCCTTAGATTATATACCCAAGCATGTAATTCAAAAGCTGTGTGTATCTCTTCGCTTCAGAAAAGTTGGCTTGTTACATTGTAACAGTGGATCCAGATCTAACCACTCTTCTACAAAATCCATTCCCCCAATCTCCAATTTAAGGCTAGACCACATCATTCTGGAGAAGCAGAAATTGATGACATTTTCCACATCCTGCCCTTTTGTTGCTGAAAAGATGATCTCAGTAATTATATTGCTTTGCCTCAAAAGCAGTGTTTTATTCTTTCCATTGGCATAAGCCTGGCAGTCTGGTCCTCTGACTTGTGCAAATGCTTCCAATTCCCATCTTCACCCCATTCCCTCCTCTGTTCTGAATAACCATTTTATACTGAGCTGTCAGTCTACTTGCTATGAAAAGCTGAATCTTTTCTTTTTTTAAAAAAAATGTTTGGTTTCATTAAATGTTGGGTATTTCTTTGAGTATTTTATTCTTTTAAGAAACATAGAAGAACTTTGAAATACCAACTTTCTTTTGACTTAAATTGATGAAATCAACAAGATCTCCAAAGATATTTTCCCCCCAAAAGAGAAAGCAATTAGCACTTGATTTTTGGCATGTGGGTGAAGCGGTAAAATCAGGAAAGTCCATCACATGTCTTCTCTGTTAATCATGGTTGAGGCACAATTACTTGCTATTACTAAGGCCCAAGTAAAGGAGGAGGTTGCAACCCAAAAAGAATTTCTTAAGTTTGCTTCATTTCTAGCACTAAGACAAGCAGCTAAAAACTGCTGGGTGAAAAAGCTGCAAAGCTAATAGAACTATAAAATTTCCCCCTTTCCTATCTTTTCTTTTGGCCTTGTCAATTCAAAGCTTTTTTAAAAACACTTTTTATTCTTTCCCTTCTGTTTTCCTTCAGTTGAAAGAGTGGTAAGAAGCATGGAAAATATCTTTCAGTTTTTAAAACTTGTTTTTCTTATTTAGAGGAAATTTTCAATGGTTGAAGAAAACCATGTTAAAAAGCTAAGTCAGTTATGAGTTTAAGAGCAATACCTATAGATTAGCTCAAGGCTCACAAAAATGTTTAAGCTTTCATAACTTTCAGATTCATTAATCAGATACTATGTTATGAAAAGCAGGAGGGAAAGCAGAGGTAAGGAGAAAAGATAAAGATGTTTGCAGAATATGGATTTCAAAATGGAAATGATGTATACTGGGAGGAAAGGTAGATTTTTTTTCAAATGGATTGCATGTGTATAATAGAATAATTAAACTAAATTTAAGTTGTACCATGGTCTATAAGGATTCCAGATGGCATCTAGAATTGCCTCTGTATTATTAACATGAGTATGTATTCTTGGATTTTATCAAAGTTATGAGACAGATGTATGTAGTGGTTCAGTTTCTAAGGGAAAAAGGTACTTTGCAGTTGCAACACCATCTCACCAGAAAAAAAAATGGTTTAAGAAGTTGACATGCATGCCTGTAACACATTCCAAAGTATCTTCCCCTCCCCTTCAGATTTGTAGTCCTGCAAAATTTTGAACCTCACCTCTGTGCTTAGGTGAAAGACATGGTTTTAGATTTTATGCTAGGTTGCAAAAAGAAAAGCCTATATTTCCAACCCCAAATAAAGCTACCTGTTTCAGCTAGTCTTGGTTTTCTTCTGCCTACCAAAAATACCAATTTTTTAAATCTAACAATGAAAGTGATTCTGAGCACAGTTAGATTTTCCATTTTTTTTAAAAAAAAATGTTCATTTGCTGATACACAAAGGCTTAAATGTAGTAAACATTCTACTTCCTAAATCATAAATTTCTTTATCAAATACTCCCTTTCTCTTAAAAGTCTTTGATAGGTTAGCCAATTTACACTCTTGTGCTAGAAAAACAATTTTGCCTCAACTTGCTAAAAATATTTAAACAGAAGAAAGCCTGACTATAGTTTTAACATAGGCACATGTAACAAAACCTTTCCAAAGGGTGATATTATTGGATTAAAAACCAAGATTTCTCTGTAAAAGAAGGAATGAAATTTTTCAATACAAGAGACAATTGTGGTCAAAATAGGTAGAGGTTTTCCAGACTTTTGGCTGACATTGTGGCGAGATTGGACCTGAGAAGTGAGACTCTGCGCTCCCATTCTGAGTTGGAGGGCTCTGAAAGGAGCTAAAGCCACCCCATGGGAGTGGTGAAGTAAAGAGGGTGCCTGGCAGGTTGCAGAGAGCTGCAACTCTCCTGCTTGACCCAGGACTTCTTCCCTCTCATCCATGACAAGACAGCCATCATGGCTGCCATGAAGCTGGGACAGCCAAGGCAACAAAAAAATGAGCAGGAGCAGTGTAAATGAATAGTAACTGGAGCTGGGTGAGAAGATTCCTTTTTTATTTAGACCCTAACTTTAAAAGAAAAAGAAAATCCAGGAAAAGAGACTCTTAGAACTAACTATCTGTTAAAATGGCAAATAACCATAGAGAGAGAAATTCTAGAAAGAAAGGAACTAAGAGGAGAAAAGTTAAAGTCCTTTTAAAACATAGAAAATTGGACTTTTAGTTGGATAAGCGTTATTCTGGAAAGGCATTATAAAATGCCAGAACTATCTACTTGAATAGTCGACTTTGCTAAATTGAATTAAATTTGGACTAATAAATTTGTTATACTCAAAACAACACTAAAACCTAAGATGAGGGTGCCATCTACTGGTGAATGGAAAATATACCATACCTCTACAAGCCTGCAAAATTTTAGATAAGAGAAATAAACAACATCCATCTAGATCCATGTAAAACTCATTGTTCTACAACTATCTACTTTATGATTACTGGAGACTATTGTGGGAATAAGGAAGACCTTTAAATAAAGTAAAGTGACTTGATTTTTGGAAAACTGCCTGGACTATTTAAATAATCCTGAGATGTAAAGAACTATTATTATTGAACTTTCTGAGGAGCAACATTGGACCTGAATATATTGTTTTGGAAAAATCCTACAATTGATAATGACTGAAGATCAAAGAGTCCAGGAAAGAGAGGAGATAACAGAAAGAATGGAGGAAAAGATAGAACAGACAAATCAGTGAATAAAGCAAGGAGATTAGAAGGAGAAGACGATAAAGTTAATAATGACTGATGAAATAAACCAAGGGAAAAGTATTTTAAGAGATTTAAAAATGGAATCGGATAAGCTGGAAGATACTTTTGAAAGGCAGATAGGGGCTTACGTGGAACTCTGGAGACCTGTCATCTTAGCAGGATAGAGATGGGAGAAATATTCAGACTGAATGGTGAAGATGCAGATGTTGATAGAGACAAAGATCTAAGGAGTTTGGGAAGCAAGCTAAAAAACAAATAAGAATTGAAGTATTAAAATGGTCAAGAGATGATGAATAGAAATATTTTTCCCTGATTAAAAACTAGAATAGAGGTAGAAATAAGAATGTACACTTTTATATAGTTAGATGGAAAGATTGGAGGTTGAAAGATAGTATTATTATGCATGTTTAAATAATATGATTGGTACTAGAAGAGTGTATTGAAACATTGAACAACCAAATAATGAAGGACTATGTCTTAATATATACATGTGTGTTAACACTAGGATTAGTAATGGTGGCCTAACTAGAAGCCAGAATAGAGGTAGAAATAAGAAACGGGAAATATTAGCATATGTAATTTTTATACAATAGAATATAAGCAATAACTAGATGGAAAGACTAGAGGCTGAAATATGGTATTACTATGTGTGCTTTAAATAATATCATTGGCATTAAAATGGAACACTGAAATATTGAATGACTACTTTAAAACAAACATGTATATTAATACTAGGATTACATAAATTTGATTAATATAACAAATATTAATATTATTACCCCTATTTGTATCAAAATGAGTTATACCCAAAAGCCACACACTTCATGTGTGTATTGATGTATATTTAAAAATAAAAATCCAATAAAACTTAAAAAAAATTGCTAGAGGTTTTCCCTGATTCTGGTCTTTACAGAAATTTGCTCTTTATGATGTATGTTTAAAATGTGCAAAATATGTTAATTAAGGGGAATATTTCCCCCCTCCCCGAAATATGACATCAGCCTGATAATGAACTGATTATAATAGCATTTTTCTATTCATAACCAGGTGCTGATTCAGTGAAGCCACTTGATGGTGTGAGAATTCTTGATTTAACAAGGTTTGTACTGCTTTGGATGTAGTTCAGAGAATTATTAAATTGTCTCATGCAAAGTTTTTGACAAAAATGTTAACATTTTTAGGGGAAGAACAATAGGACTGTAATTGTTTAAAGAAGATAGGAAACAATGTATTTTGATAGTTTTTTTCCTTTCCGCCTTTCTTTGTATTTTTTCTTGCTCTTTTTCTTACTTTCCTTCCCTCCTTTATTTTTTGATTGGTCTTTTATTTTTGAGAAGATTCTTAATAACTTTAAAAAAATGATAATATTTTTGTTATTGCCTAGATTAATTTGAATGGTATGTGTTCCATTCCCTTAAATGTTGCCATTAGATGAGACCTCAGAGATGTATCTTGGTGGCTGCTGCAGGCCTTTGGAACAACCTTCCACCTGTGTTCCCAGGGATTTCTAATGTGGAGGGATACTTCCCCAAGTATTGAGCTAGGATGTGAGAGGATGCTTAGTTTAGTGCCTGGGTGAAGGGCTTTCTTATTTTTAGCCATGTTTTTTGGATTGTTGTGAGCTGCCTAGAATAATTCTGGGAGACAGATAGCCCTTTAAGTCCTATAAAAATAATAAATAAATGTCCATACATGCATCAATTTCATTATGAAATATTGCAGAGTACTTGCAGGACCTTTTGCCACCATGAACCTTGGGGATCTTGGAGCTGAAGTAATCAAAGTGGAAAAACCAGGTAAAGTGATTTTTTTTAAATATGAAAAATACTTATGGAATGACATTTTTTACATGTTCTAGACTATTTTAATTTCTCAAAATAAGCATATTAAATATAACTAATGTTAGAGTAGGAGGGAATAGTGAAAAGAAAATTATAGTAATATGGTATGAAAATATGAGTAGAGATTTTTCATCCTGTCTCAAAATTGAAAAAAAAGATGGGATTATACAGTGGTCACAGTTCCACAAAGACTTAAAGACATTTTATCTCAAGGCTTTAAATATACAAAAAATTAATATGTAAAATAAAACTAAATAGAAAAATGGAATTCATCTTTCTTCAAATCTTTGAACTGCACAATATTTTAATAGAATACTGGAGCATTTTTATTTTGCTTTCTTAATTCAAGACATCTTAAAATATCTGCTTTAAATAGAATTTTAAAATTTGTTAATTTAAAAATTGAACTATCATTTTTAACTTCTCTATCATCATGTTTTTCATCTGGAGTGAAAATAAATATGATCTGTTCTGGTTGGAATCCCTGGTAAAGTGCTACAAATGATCTCAGTTATTGTGAGGTTATGAAAAGCAATGAGAAGGGTGTGCTCCTTCTCTTATTACTGATTATCATGAATTAATTATTAGCATAATAATAGCATATTGCTCATGGTGATGAATTTATAAATCTAATACCGTGTTGATTGGGCCTTATTATCTAGGGGGACTTATTGTTTTGGGGTTGCCAAGTGGCTGCTCTCTTGCGAGTGGGAGCCCAAAGAGCCAGACACAGCTTTGGGCAAACGGCTGTGTTGCGCTGTCGCAGAATCGCAACATACCCGCCACGAGGTGACCACAATCACGAGCAGCCACCCGGCAACCCCGCTTTCCAGCTGGGCAGAGCACCACTCAGCGACCCAGTGTGGTGCTAAGCCGTGTGGTGCTCTGCCCTCCCCCCAACTCCCACAGTTTGGCGCATTTGGGATACCCTTAGGTCAGTGCATGGCATTCTGCCCGGCTGGAAAGGGAGTTGCGTGAGTGCCTGTTCTGTCCCCAGCTCATGTGCCTCCCAGCCACACCATGCCCTGGCCGAGCTCTCCCTGCAGGGCCAGGGCGCCGCCGCAGTGGCACTCCAAGCATAACCTATTATCTGGCTTCCAAACTCCGAAGATTCGCAGCCGAATCTTCCGGCAGCGGCCGCTCTGGGAGTATACTCTATGATTGTGGGCTGGCTGCCGGCAGAGCATATTCCCAGAGAGTACAACCCTAGAGCGTATTCCCAGAGTGGCAACTTCCAGAAGACTCTGCATTCTACCTTTGTGCTTTGGAAGCCATAGAAAAAGTCATGCAGCGGCAGCGGAGGTGCCCTGGCTCTGCAGGGAGAGCTAGGCAAGGGCATCGTGAGGCTGGGAGGCGCATGAGTGGGGGGCAGAAAAGCCACTCGCGCAACCCTCCCTCCAGCCATGCAGAGCCCCATTCACTGACCTGGAGGCATTCTGAAGACACCAAGCCGCAGGAGTCGGAGGGCAGTGAACAACGCTCATGCGGCTTGGTGATACCCCTAGATCAGTGAATGGCACTGTGCCCGGACGGAAAGGTGGTTTGCTGGGTGGCTGCTTGGCTGCTGAAACAGCGTAATACAGCCATTCGACTCTGAGGTTGTGCCCGGCTCTTCAGGAGCCCGCTTGCAAGAGAGCAACCACATGGCAACCCCCCTCTCCAGCTAGGCACAGCAGCTCTCACTGATCTAGCAGTATCCCGAAGGCGCCAAGCAACGCGAGCCTTTGCCCCCCCCCCCCCATTCCTGCAGCTTGGCACCTTCGGGATACCGTTAGGTCGGTGAGTGGCGCTCTGCCTGGCCGGGTGGGGGTGTTCCAGGGGGCTTATTTTCAAGGGATG